ACATCAAGACCAAGAACACACTTAACACAAGAGGGGGATTTTATTCGATGGCAGCAGCGACAGCCAGATTATCCTTGCTGAAACGGAGCACGCTTGTGAGGAACGAACGTGATCGAATGTAAAAACACCGAAATGTCATTACCATGTGTAATTTCTTAATGCTGATGTTATTTTTAAAATGTGATTTGTGACTTCAGGAAACATTTTATATCAATTACTGACGATGACACAGTGTTGTCGAAACGTCTGAAATACAAAAAGATTTAGATTTTAATCATAATTTTCGTTCGCAACTCTTGGCCATCAGACTTTATAAACATGTCTTACAATACTGAACAATATGTCTATTATGTTGCCACGATAAAAAAGAAAAAATGACTCAGAGCCGGTCAAAAATTAACGTGGAAATATCCCAGCATTGTCGCTCGGAATGCTACACTTGTCTCCGAGGGACGCTGTTTTGGCAGTCTGCCAGGTCTCCCAATCATCCTAGGGCAGGTCAGGCTTCATAGTATCACTTTGGAAGCTTAGTGAGCTTTAGGACGGGCTTAGTCCTGACGTCTAGGGAGCTACGAGCCCATCATTTTATGCGCTTCGTCGAGCGGACGCTAAAAGTTTATCTTCATCTGAACAATGGAGTGAATGATTTTGTCACTTAGTTTCGTGTCAGACATTATCTGAAACCACGGTAGAGGCCGAGGGAATATTTGATCATTTGATCATATGTCAAATTTGAGACCAGATAAAGTAGATGTGTAATGTGTGTCAACCGTCATTGATCACTATTCCTGAGACGTTTTGTTCAACCTACGCAAATCGCAATATTGATATAGTTCTGACTTTGATGCCGAAGCAATAACTTGGTCTATTCACAAGCATGCAGCATAAAAAAGCAACTAAATCTACAATCAACTGCAGTTAGTGATGACTGATCAATGAGTGATCAATGATCATCTCTCAGTGCTCGACACCCATCCCTTACCAACGACGTTGCTAAAATAATGAATCGAAACGGCGTTCAAAATTTCACAAGCACGTACAAAAAGCGCATCAATCTTGCCACATCATTTCATCTCAACATCTTTCCACTCTGTCCCACTTCTCATCCACGTCACACCGAATCTCTACCACTATCAATCTCCTGAATTCCTCCTCGTGCATCGTCTCGCCTCAGCGCCACCACTGACGGAGAGTTCGGCTGACAGCGACGGTCGGAGGTGTTACACCGTTCCCATCAGTTGCCGCCACACCACCGTTCGGCTCGCTTAAAACACTCGCCGGCGCGGTCAACCGTGAGGCCGGCCGTCCGTGAGTGACATGTTCCGAGAACTGATGGGGAGGGGCGGCGGTCGGAGCGTGCTGCCGGCGCCTCCGCTCTGCAGCGGTGTCGCCGGGCCGGCTGGAGGCCCGGGAGGTTTGGAGGAGACGCAGGACGGACCTGAAGGTGGGGATGGCTGGGGGGTCTCCCTAAGAGTTTGATAGGTTTGATCGGACTGCCATCGCGACTGCCTGGTGGTGTGTGACGGAGTTTCAGTGGCGTTCCTTGTAGCAATCTAGCGGCACCCACCCGGCTGCGGAAGCACATTCCTCTGAGAGTTCCTCGTCTGACCTGACCACCCACACACCACAGCGCACTGGGCAGCGAACAGCTACTGTTACGGGGCATTGCATCAGTCGCTCTGCGTCCCACACAGTAGCCCAGTGTCCGGCTGTGCCCTGGGGGGCGGTCAGACGCCAGCCGGTCTTTCTCACGGCCCCGCCCCCGTCAATGGCGCTCTCCGGGACAGCAGCGGCTCTGTGCCGATACCCATACATTGCAGACAGCAGACGACCAGACACTGCAGACAGAAGGCAGGCTGTCTCCGACACCCACACTGCAGACAGTAGACGGATGGCTGCCCTGACCACGGCGGGATCCTGTGGTCGGCAGCCAGTCGCGGCACCCTACACACCCACAGACTTCAATAAGGCCTACAGTGGACAGCGCTGGCCCGGTCCCGAACCGCTCAACACACTGCAGGCAGCAGACAGTAGCTCTGTTCCCGACCCGCTCCGCTCCATACAATGCTGTGTAGTGGCCGCGGCGGTTGGTGGGCTGGGGTCCGGCTCAGCTTTTATTGCCTACTCCCACGCCGCTCAGCCGACCCGAGTCTGGTATTGACAGCTCTCTAGTGCTCACTGCTGCGGAATTTTATGAAGGGCATTGGAATTGAAACCGTTTGGGGTTTAGTGGTTGTATTGTGTTCCGTCTTTGTTGGTTATTTTACGTATGCATCTTGCAGTATTCGACTACATCTAGACTGTCACTTGTTTCTATCAGCTTACATCACCCGAAATTGATTGACATCTACCCCACCAAATATCCCATAATTGCATCGCCCCTGGCATCTGCCGCCCCACCAGATACCGTTCCTGGCTCCGCCTCTGCTCATGGAGCTTCACTAACCTTGTATGTTATCTCTGGCATCTCCAGTCCCACCAGTCACCACCCCTGGCTCCGCCTCTGCTCATTGAACCTCACTAACCCTGTATGTCGCCTCTGGCATCTGCCGCCCCACCAGACACCGTCCCTGGCTCCGCCTCTGCTCATGGCCGGCCGTGGTAGCCCGAGGGCAGCTTGCCGCGGACATGCTCTTTACAGGCCGTTTCAAGTCGGCCGTTCCGTCTGCTGTGGCGGAGCCCACGTGCCGCCGCCGGGCCGGCTCCGCGGCCAACGGCTCAGGTGCGTCCCAACTAATTCCACAGCGGCGCAACGGCCCCGTCAGTTATCCGATCTGCGTTCAGGGGTCGTCACTGCGACAGTTATGGAAACGAGCGCCGGCCGTGCATTTGGGAGATTGGACGCCAGATAATGCCGTCCGAATAGAACTATTGTTAAAGTATACTTTTCTGCCATTGGTTCAGAAAGACCAGTCGGAGGATCCGCCTACCATGGAGGCACGGGACGCTCATGGTCGACGCGATGTCTTTGCAGAAAACTGGCTGGATTGAAGTTTGGCTCACGGAGCCTGACGGAGCTGTGGAGCATTACCCCGGCACAGGTACTCGATCTCATTTGTGTATTATTTAGCTACGAGTACCTATACTTATAAATGCAGCAGAGTTATCCAGGGTCGTCCAGTTGCGCACTCTAATGTGATATCAGATAACGCCTTTATTGTTTTCTTCTACGAGCCCGCCAAAGTACGAAATGCACAAATGCGCACTACTTTGACATCAATTCTCCAGAACAAGGGTCATTGGTATGCATTGCTAATCCGTTCCAGCGAAGAGTTGATAATACATTCAGCAGGGGTAAGGCGTCTCTCATCTACATTCTTGCAGAACAATTGGTCACCGTTCAGTCTTTATTGACAGCAGATTTCTCTTGGAATGGGTGTCGGTCGATACTTTCTGCATAGCGACTTGGCGGTCTTTAGTAGACAGTTTTCTCGGTGTGAACGCTTAATACTTGATATAAGACAAAAGTGACGTTTGTGCTGCTTTTAGTTTTCCAAGCCCACCGACACAATTTGGATGCATATTTATGACAATAGATTTCGTCCATTTTGTCCTATGCTGCATTGAGTGAACACCATGGCTAAAATAAATAATATCATGGTGTTCTTTTTATAGAACACGTTGATATCTGACCTTGCATTAACAGCTGCTCTGGATGCCGACATGAATTGATTATCATCTAAATGTGAAACAAAATATATGCATTGAAAAAAAAACTCCTCAGTGTTTGATGGTCGTCTATATATAACTAGTGCCTCGGGACCCGTCCAGTCCAATTATCTATGACCAGCTGGTGCAGCTCTATCAGGCTGTCCCCAGGGGTCGATGTTGTCCCCCGCTCCCGCTGACCTCGCTGAGATAACGGGGACTGACAACCTCGCCAGTCCAAGGTCTGATCAAACACGGCCGGATCGGATCTCGGAAACCGGCAAATATGAAACCAGTGGATATTGACATATAGACTGATGCTTGAAAGACGGGGCTGTTAACTACATAAACTGTCGATCTAGACATAGAAACACGCGTCGCATCTTCAGTGGTCGCTTACATCGACTTACAATGCGATAAGTAGACTGATATGAAATTTAGTTTCCAAACTTAGAAAACATTATCCAAGAGCTTGTACGACAGTCGAGATAATGTTTGTCATATTGGTCCTTGGCGCCCCAAATGAGTACATGTCTCATTTATGGACCTAGAGTCTGCCAATAAAAAGATCTCTCTCTCTCTCTCTCTCTCTCTCTCTCTCTCTCTCTCTCTCTCTCTCTCTCTCTCTCTCTCTCTCTCTCTCTCTCTCTCTCTCTCTCTCTCTCTCTCTCTCTCTCTCTCTCTCTCTCTCCCTCTCTCCCTCTCTCCCTCTCCCTCTCCCTCTCCCTCTCCTCTCTCTCTCTCCTCTCTCCTCTCTCTCTCGCTCTCTCCCTCTCTCCCTCTCCCTCCCTCCCTCTCCCTCTCTCTCTCTCTCTCTCTCTCTCTCTCTCTCTCTCTCTCTCTCTCTCTCACATACTCCTCTGTAAATCAATATGTATGTCTTTGTCTCTCCTTTCCCCTCTCTCCTCCTCCCTCTTCCCGTTGCTACCACACATCGATTAACCGGAGCACGTGCCCACCAATCAGGGCGGCGGAGCCGGCGCGGACACCGAGACATTCACGGCGCTTCAGCCGCTGCACCGGGCACCTCTCAACGCTCAATGAGTAATGAATAATTAGGCCGCGGGCTAATTATTCCCGCCGGGTGTCGGCGCTCCGACTGGCCTCTGATTGTGGCACTCTGAATTCTCAGTCGATTTGATATATGTTCCGGTGAAATCCATCACCAGATGCGTCTTTGTTGATGCCCTATTCGGGAAATATTAGAGGTTTCTTCAGCTTTCCAATGTAGGCAGGTAACATCCATATAACGAACTAACTGACGATTATTTGAACAGCTCATTAATTTTGAGTCAGGTTCATCCAGATAGCAGCCAACAGTGACCTGTGCGTGTGGGGAAACTTGAACTAACCTTTTGGCTCCATATTTGCTGATACCGCTGACGGCACAGGCTGAGGTGCTGGCAGTGATCGGGTCTGAGTTCTCCAGTCTTCGTCGGCAGCTGAAAATGAACAGATTGTGTCCGTTAGATGCTATTTTGCATATTAGGAGATTTTAGTATGAAATTATTACGAATTCCTAGAAAAATACGTACAAATTGTTTTTAGTGTGTGACGTGTGTCTTCGAACAAACCAGTGACTTTACAGAACTTGACACATCTGATTCTTAATAGCAGGATTTCAGAAATATTTCAGTTTCGTTATTGAATACTACACTGTTAAAAAAGATTAGCAGTTTAGTGCTAAATCGTGCGCAATTCATTTGCTAATCAGGTTGTATTTGCACCTTCATACTTTTTACGAACTTTTTCCTAGTTTTCTATGGCATTCCTTTCATTTTAGCAGGCTCAATTGGTAGCTTCCTACTTGTTCTGCTGGACCTGCTATTTAAGCTGCTAAAAGACATGTTTTGCAAAGGTGCTAAATCATTGGCGGGGAAGGTTAGCATCATAGGACTGCTACAAAACGGCGAGTACATAAAAGTCTGCTAAACGACTGCTAACTTTTTGTGTTTGTAAATTTGTAGCAGTTTTAGCCTGCTAGACCGATTGCGCACTTCCGCGCGGCGGCGCCATTTTATTATTGAAGTGTTGGACAGTGCTGCAGTGCATCCAGGTGCGTCGCGACATTCCGACCGGACTGTGCAGTGCATGTGTGTCGAGTGGACGTGGTGTGGGATCATCGTGAGGTGAGTGTGTTCCTTATGTTGAAATTTGTTAGTGTCGTCTGAAGAAATTGAATAGCATTTTCCTGGGCTGGCGTGTGGTTACCGAGTATGGGTAACGGCCGGCGTGGCCGCGTGTGCTCGCTGGTGAGAATGCGTCATGCCTTCGGGCTGTGCAGTGGGCACGGCAGCTGCCGACCGGCACGGATACGTTTATGCGTGTTGACTGTTGCTGCTCTGGTCTTACGCGCGATTATCGAGTGTGCAGCCAGCGTGTGCTCGCTGGTTGGGACCAGCTGCCGCCATACTCTGCACGGCAGCCGTCCGACCGGCACCGATTTTCTGTGGTTTGTGGCACACCGCTGCTATGTTACGCTCATGGGGTGTGGTTTTGAAGTCCTTATTAAATAAAAGGTGTTAATAAAAGTGCGTGCTTTGAGTTGCGTGTGTTAATTAAGTTGCGTGCGTGCCTAATAGGGGTAGGTATGCAGGCGTTCGGCATTGTCAGCGGCCATTTATTTCGCATTGCGTTAATTTTACGTATGGATATAACTTGTAATTGAGTTTATGAGGTGCAAAATTTAGCAGTTTAAAATTGTTAATATGGTGCTAAGTGGTGACTTCTTTCGTTTTTAGCAGTCATTTGGCACAAAATAACGAACTTAAAACGGCTGAAATTTGGCGCCGAGGGTAGGGTTAGTAAATGCAACCCGTTAATTAGCACCACGAATAGCAGGTAATTTAGCAGCTCAAGGCTACTAAAATTTTAGCAGGAACCGATTAACAGGGCTGATAGCAGCCGAAAATAGCAGTTATAAAGTGCTGAAATTTGGCGCGAGAATAGCAGGTGAAACTGCTAACCTTTTTTTACAGTGTAATACGTCATTCACATCTTATTGATTGCACACAAACTCAATTACGTTGATAATGATTGGCAGTTTAGCCGCCCGATAATCAAGGTGCTGGTGCCCATAGTTCAATCATAGTGCATTTCAATTACCTAGTCAATTTGACTTTTATCATGGCATGATAATGTGAGTAAAATATTGTGCTTCGCCGACTTTGGGATGGCTCGCAAAATCACTTCCCAACTGTCCACTGACGCGTGATCTACACTCTGCTGTTTGGTTCCCTTTTGCCTCAGTAAACGACTCAGTTTAGCACAACCAGCTTGGTCATTGCGAACATTTGCCTTAGTATGTCTGAGGCGTGATCCGAATCGACGACAGAGCAGGGTCCCAAATTTTGACACGGCTGCAGCGCATGGGTACCATTAGCGTCGGCAACGGACGATCTTCCCCCGGCGACCGACAAAATCTCTGCCACCGTTCGATCACGAACGCTGCTGTGATATTGGTTCCTTTCCATTACCCGACCGTTCACGTCTAATGAAAAGCGATCGCCAGCGTTGCCCACGACACTGTTCGTGTCGCCGTCTATGTTACAGTCTTGCCGCTCACGACGAAAAGCGACTGGGTGAGCCGGGTATCGTCGGGTTTCCGAGCTTTATGATCGAAGGGTGATATTTGTCGCCTGAGCCCGTCACACGTCAGTTCGCTGGTCATAGCTATCTTGATGGATAAATGCCGATCGTCTTGACTCAATTGTCAATTGACGGACTCATCAGCATGTGAGAATAGTGCCGAGCTATTGAAACGCAATTCTAGCGAAGGTATATTGTATAGTTTTTGAAGATGTTGAACCTTCGATTATGACTAGGCCAACCAATAGCCATTGCATTGTTCAATGCTCATATGGTGAAGCACATCACATATCGCTGCCACAATCATTTACGCTTCGAATTGAAAAAGAAAAAAGCATGCAAAACATATCATATTGCTGGCATCTGTGTATTCAGGATAATATCTAGAGCTCCACGCCAACATAAGCGACCCATTAGAGGTCGGCTCGTCTCGGCACAAATCCCTCGACAACAGCCGTCTAAGGCCGGACTAATTCCACAGGTTCACGGCAATCACATCGAATCCCGGCGGCGACCCCGGGGGCGGCGCTTCCCGACCCGACCCGCCGACTGTCGTGAGTCGACTATTCGTCTTGGACGATGGATGGCCCCCTCCGTGGAGGTCCCATGTCCACCGAGACGGCCTGGTGGGAACGGCACTGGTCGACGACAGAGGGCGGAGTGGGAACGGTCGGATAACGGGAGGCCGCGCTGCTCTCCAGAGCTCTCCGAGCTCGCAGATACTGTAAGCCGCCGCTTGGCCAGCTCAGTGGCTCGACGACGAGCAAATTGTAGTGGTTTAGAAGCTGGAGCAGCGTTCGCCGTGGCTTACTGGGTAAAAATAACACGGCTTATCATCGTTTAGCCTGCTATTGAAGCGTGCAGACCATCCCAGAAGAGCCAAATTCATGTGAGCTCAAGAATAGAATAATCAATGATGTGGATGCTCACATTTACGTATTGTAGATCTCATGAGATCATGAGATGCGAATTAAATGAGGTCAACTGTGTTTTATTTTACCAGAAGTTCATTATCAATGGTCATTTACAATTCAGTTATCCAAATGAAGCGCCCATTCCGCCGGGGTCTGATCGACCGGCACTTCAACTGACGACGTTTGCGCCGTCTCAGCTCGCTGCTATGTAGATATCGATGCGACTGCTTGTCTCAATAGTTTGGAGCGCCGTGGGCTGTGCACCTACCTTATCGCCTAGGGTGGCCATTAGTGTAGCACGGAGCCACCCGAGTATACCGTCAGAAGAGGCTATTGGAGTCGGATGGCTGATGATTATAATTAGGGCAGTGATAAGATGGATGATTATTTGATAGCAATTAGTGGTTTAAGGATGAAACAGTGCAAGGAATTAGGTAACAGACACAGCTAATCGTCATGTGGACATGAATTAAGACACGCCCAAACGTGCATAAAAAAGATGATTACCTGCCGTTAGTATGATGACTTGATAGTTGATAGTGTGTTTATTCGAGATCAGGCAAGGATGTAAATTTAAGTGCAATGTGCAAAGGGACAGAGGTGGCCTCTACAAAGTAGCACAATTTGCTTGTAGCCTAAATGAAGCTTGTATGGACAAAAAAAACTTTCAGATAATGCCAATAGGCCTAACAGACTGCATTTGCATTACTAGCGATGCCAAAATCACGCAGTAGGGGAGAGTGGGGCAAAGCGGCCACCCGGGGCAAAGCGGCCATCCATCGTTTTAGCCCTCCACAGCTGGCGTCAGTTCCAATTTATGATTTCCAATTATACTTCTCTTTGCGGTCGTTCGAATGAGCCAGACCGGGGTTTCAGGCCCATCGCCATTGTTCTGTGAAACACGGAAAAGCATTTCTTGCCAGGTTACCAATTATGTTTACAATTTTTAAATGTTATTTTATTCCATAACCGTTTGGAATTTTTATAAGCGTTTTTGTCCATGCATTGCGTGGTTATCGTACATGCCTTCTACCAATTTTAATGCTTTTTACCCCACTAATAGCTGAGCTGGAATATTTTTGTCTCGGACGGTAGCGCGGGGCAAAGCGGCCGGGGCAAAGTGGCCAGCCCCCAATTGGCCATAAGTTGTTTCCATCTGGATAAAAACATTATTTATATTCAAATGTGTCGTCATGCATTCATCTTGGCCACTTTTCGGTTACATGAGTTACCAAATTATGCAATTAAATGTTTTTCCAAGAAAATTCTTTCTTTGTTTAGCAATAGGTGGGAAGATAACAAAGTAAACATCCATCTTCCCTTAAAGGGAGATTATGACCTTTTTCCACAAAATCTGAGTTAGGACCATTTTCTGACAAAACACAACAAGTTATAATGTAAATTAAAACCATTTTGCTCAATTCGGTACCTTGCCGCAAATATCTCAACTTGAAGTCACGTTAGCGGGGAGCGCTGAAAATGACCGTTGAATAAGTACTTACATCACTTTTTGGTACTTGCATGTAATTTTGTAAAATGAGCGTATTCATTACATTTGATCTTCATCACGTCTAGTTAGTTAATGGTCGTCTATAGTGCCTTCAAAAGATATTCATGGTTTGGGGGTGGTTTATGTCTAAATTTACGCAACTTTTTTTCCTGTTCATCATCTGTGGCCATATGCTGCTATTTTAGTAGCAACGACTCAATTTTGAATCGGTCCCGCCGACTGCACAATAAAAGAAGATAGATACAACACTTTTGCGGCATCACTGAAAAACTTATGCAGTACTGTTATCAAAATTCTCATAACACCGTTCGACAAACCTGAAGTCTTTTTGAAATAAATATGCTTGTATTTTTCGCTTCAGGCTCTGAGGCCAAAATAATGAATTTCGTAGTCGCAATCGCAAGATTTGGCTGCGTTTCTGGCGCATGCC